TATTAATTTTCTTCACAACAGTAAACTTACCAATGCTTCAACTTGTTCCTTGTGCCTCTGCTCAAAGCTGGCCTGGTCTACTTTACTCAGCTGTTCTGGGTGCAAACCAATCAGCTCAGGTTGCACCTTCTCTAGCAGAGCCTTGACCTCCCACTCCTGTCTCTGTTCATAGCTGCGGTACGGGTTTGTATCAAGAGCATCAAAATTGGGTTCCCCTGCACCTGGAGAGGCACAAAAAAAGCAGGGATATTTCTCTTTTTTCAGTTATAGGAGAACTGTGACCTGTACATTTTTGGTGACATTCAACCCTGCAGCTCTGTAATATACTGAAAGAAACAGATTATAAATAGACTTTTGTTCTTCCATGGTGATGCACATTATGTGTGTTGTGTGTGCCAGTATGTACACTGCATTTTTTCTCTGCCAAATTTAAGGAATAAACAAAACTGAACAATACATAAATATGTCCTCTGGATGTAAATGTCTAGGGAGCAGACAACGGGTTGCATTAGCAACACTTCAAAGTTTGAAAATAACACTTCCAATATATCTCTTCATTACTTTAATTAATTTTACGAATAAATTGCTTGAAATCTTTAAAGACTTGAATAGATCTGCTCACAAACACCAGAATATGGAAACAACTTTTAATGTACCTTGAATGAATGAATGATGCATTTATATAGCACTTCATTGTGTATTGTTGTACACCCAAAGAGCTTTACAATCATGTGGGGGGCGTCTCTCCTCAACCACCACCAGTGTGCAGCATCCACTTGGATGATGCGACGGCAGCCACAGGACAGCGGCGCCAGTGCGCTCACCACACACCAGCTACAGGTGGAGAGGAGAGAGAGTCATAGAGCCAATCAAGTCGTTGATTACACTGTCAACCTTCAACCTTCTGATTACACTGAAAAAAAATTGTTCTCGTCTCGTTTTTGAATGCAAATACCTAAAGATTCTTAAACAAGATACATTTACTTAAAGCTGCAGTCCGTACGTTTTGCCTTTGTCGTTATCTCTGTTTGAAAACCTGAAATTGCAGCTGTGTGCAGAATTATCTAGTTTGTGTGGGTTGTACGGCTGCACAATTCTTGCTAAAATGTGAATCACGATTTTTCTCCATGGGAATTGATTCTCATTTTTTCAACCAAAATTTAATGCACTCAAGCACAAAAAACAAAACAAAAAAAAAACACAGGACTAGAGCTGCACGATTCTGGAAAAATTGAGAATCACCATTTTTTTTGTCTCAAATAGAGATCATGAATCTCCCACGATTCTGAACTAAACAAAATAATGTGTGGCAAAATATGATTGCTGCAGTCTATTTAAAAGTGTTTCATTAATTTGAATGAAGTATTAACCATTTTAATATACACTACCAGTCAAAAGATTTTGAACAGTAAGATTTTTAATGTTTTTTAAAGAATTACCAAGCCTGCATTTATTTAATACAAAATACAGCAAAAGCAGTAATACTGTGAAATATTTTTACTATTTAAAATAACTGTTTTCTATTTGAATATATTTTAAACTGTAATTTATTTCTGTGATCAAAACTGTATTTTAAGCATCATTACTCCAGTCTTCAGTGTCACATGATCTTCAGAAATCAGTCTAATATGCTGA